CGCGCAGGCGCACACACACCCCCGCCCCGGAGCCCAGGCATTTGCATGGACACAGACGTGAGCTCCTAACGTCACGTGCTGACCTGCTGACCCAGAGGCCGCCGTCAAGATGAAAAGCCCCAGACCTTTCCCAGGCGAACCGCAGCCCAGCCCAGCGTGACAAACACCCTCAGCCCTGGCCGGTGTGGCTCCTCCAGAGGGTCAAGGGCTGCACTCCGGTCAAGGGCACAGACCTTGGTTGTAGACTCTTCTGAAGCCCGCACCCTGGCTGGGGTGCATGCAGGAGGCAACCCATCGATGTGTTTCTCCCACATCAATGTTTCTCTCCGTCTCTCCCTCTCTCTTCCACTCTCCCTAAAAATCCATGGGAAAATATCCTCGGACGAAGATTAAAAAAACAATAAAAATACAATAAAAAAAAAAAAAAAACCACCTTGAAGCTTCAAAACAAAACAGCTCTAAAAGGGAACAGCCGAGGACAGCCCCTGGGCCTCACCGCCGGCTTCTGTGCCCGGAGCCTGCGCACCGGAGGGCGTGGGTGTCTGAGCTCGCACCGCGGGGCCCAGGATGGCCCCACCGGCCAGTCCCGTCTCGGCCTTTGATGTCCGAGGTCTCATTAGCGGGCAGGCCCCGTCCTGCCCCGTGGGAAAAGTTCCAGAAACACGGTGACCTCGTCCCCGAGGAATGGCTGATTCACGCACGCGCGCGCGGAGGATACGCCATGCTCGGCGGGAGAGGAGAGGCAACAGCCGCTTCCCACCCACGTGTCCCCTGCCCACCCCGGGCGGCTCGGCTGGGGCACTCTGGTCTGGGGGCCACGTGTCTCTCTCTCTCTCTTTTTTTTTTTTAATTAAATTATTATCTGTGTACATATTTTACCATTGCCCCCCCTCCCTTAGATGCCCTCCCTCCCCAGAGTTTTGTGTCCCTTGGTTGTACTTATATGCATGTATACAAGTCCTTCAGTTGATCTCTTATCTCCCCCAGACGTCTCTCTCTTTTTAAAATATATTTCTTTATTGATTTCAGAGAGGACGGGAGAAGGAGAGAGAAACATCAATGATGAGAGAGAATCACCTCCTGCAAACCTCCTACTGGGGATCGAGCCCGCAACCCAGGCACCTGCCCTTGGCCGGAATCGAACCTGGGACCCTTCAGTCTGCAGGCTGGCGCTCTATCCACTGAGCCAAGCCGGCTGGGGCTGGGGGCCACGTCTCTGGGCATCTGTCAATCGCACCCCGACAGCTGACTGACAGCGTGTACCTGCCAATGAGAAAGCGGGCCCCTCGCTGGGGTCCCGGTGGCCCAGCCCAGCAGTGGCCACGCCCCCAGCAAGCCGGGCGCTTCCTGAGCAGTCAGAACAAGTGCCACCCCATTCACCTCCCCTGCCCGTTTCTGGAACCCCCGGCTGCCCAGGGCTCCGCCGGCTGGGAGGCCCCGGCCCCCACTTCCTCACACACCCCTTTCTGGAGCCCCACACCCCGCTTTCGTTGGTTTGTTGTTGTTGTTTTAACCCTCACACAAGGATATATTTTCCCATTGATTTTCAGAGAGTGGAGAGAGAGAGAGACATCGATGTGAGAGAAGCACACCGACGGGTTGCCTCCTGCATACACGAGCCCTGACCCAGGGAAGAGCCTACAGCCCAGGTACATGCCCTTGACGGGAATCGAACCCAGGACCCTGCGGTCTGCAGGCGGATGCTCTATCCACTGAGCCACACCAGCCACAGAGCCCACGCATTGCTTTCTAGAGCCTGGTCCAGCCCTTCCTGGGGCCTCGCTCGCTCTTCCACAGGCTGGGGTCTGGCGTGGCGACTCGCGCCATCTGGCCTCGGAAGCAGGGCTGCAGGAGGGGAAACCAGACACGAGGCGTATGTTCACCATCGCGACCCAGCGCCTCAGGCTGCACCCACGGCGGACCCCCGGCTGCTCCGGGGTGAGGACAGGCCGCCCGGCTGCTCGGCGGCGAGCTGCCGGCCACGGGCCTCCTTCCCTGGCTCCCACCAGCCCGGCCAAGAGCACGGTGGCCTCAGATCTCACACCCTTACCCCCAGGGTGCTGGCTTCCAGAACGTTCACTCTATAGGCACGTATGCACCATATGTGTAACGTGCAGGCAACCTCCCCTGTCGTGCCGGCTCCCCAGGGGACCCAGCAGGGCCGTCTGCACAGCAGCATCGGGCATGAAGGGGAGGAGAATCTTCAAAAGCTCTTCTCCAGCCATGGCGGAGCTCTGCAGTCAAGCATCCCCACTGAGCTGTCCGTCCCTGGCCCCGTCCTCTCCTCCCAGCGGCCCCTCGGCTGGCTCCTGGCCACCTGGAGACGCCTCCTTCCCAGCACGCCCTGGTCACCGGCCTGTCCCCGGGCCAGGAGCCGGACACGCCGTGCAAGAGGCTGGCTCCTGGGTACACCTTCCCCGCCAGGCCCATCCCTCTGCGTCTCCCACGGCCTGGCCTGCTCACAGGTGGGCAGGGCTGCAGGCACCCCCCATCCCGGTCCCTGACGGTTAGGACAGAAAAGTGGGTAGAGGGCTGTGTCTTGCCAGCAAGCCTCCTCTCCGGGGCTCCCCCGCCAAACCCAGGACATGTGGGAAGTTAGAGAACCCCTTTCTCTGGCAGATTTGCAAAGTGAGAGAAAAACAACACCCCTGGTGGTGGCTGGCCCTCCGTGGCCGCCCGCAGGCAGGCAGGGCCGGCAGATCCCTGTCAGGCACTTAGAGATCCGTGGCCGCCTCCCCACCAGACGGAACAGGACCTGCTAGGCGGCCCGGCTCCCGACATGCAGCACCCCGACCGTCCGGCACAGCAGGTCCCCGTACGTGTGCACAACAGCTGACGGAGGTCCCCTCCCCTCCTGGGGGGAGGGTGGCTTGTGCCCTCTCTCCGGAGACCCAGCTCACCCCACTGTCTGCAGAGAGACCAGCCCCAGCCCCTCCGCCGGCCGCCAGACCCTGGATTTAGGGCTGAGCGTCTGCCTCACACCCCCTCGGGCCCGACCAGCCGATGGCACGTAATTATAATCTTGCTCCACTGGCCACTTTGCTACACAGGTGGGGGGTGTCGCAATCTCCGGGCCTCAGACCCCGGCAGGTGCGTCTCCTCGGGCCCCAGCCACCACCCCTGTATCTGCTGAGCTACAAGCGGGGGAAAGGGAAAGATGGGAGAAGCATGTTCCCGGGGACCCACGCACATCACCAGCACTCCCAGCTCCTTCTTTTCCTATTGTTTTTCCTTCTCTTTTACTTACTGATCTATTTCCTTTACTTACTGATTTCAAAGAGGAAGAGAGAGAGAGAGAAACATCCATGATGAGGAAGAATCATGGACCGGCTGCCTCCTGCACGCCCCCCACTGGGGATGGAGCCCGCCACCCGGGCCTGTGCCCCCACCGACCGGGGATGGAACCGTGACCTCCTGGTTCCCAGGTGGACGCTCCACCGCGGAGCCACGCCGGCTCAGCTCGTTAATGACAGCCTCTGGAATGCGTCCTCCTGTTCCCAAAACAAGGGAGTCATCCTTCCCGAGGCAGGACACCTCGTAAAGTGTGACCCAGACTTCGCTCCCACCCTGCCGATGACCTAAGTGCTCCGGGGCCTCGGAGGGCCGAGCCGGCCGGCTGGCTGGCTGGCTGGCTCGCTCGGGCCCCAGCTGGCAGGGCAGGGCGGGTACCCAGTGGCCGCAGGGCAATCCTCCAGGCCCCAGCCGAGCCGATGTGCCTACAAAGCAGGTTTCTCAACGCCACAGCCTTCCTCCTCCACCCCTAGAGCCTCGTCCAGCGGCCTCTGGTCCCACACGCGGCCCCTCCGGCCGCAGCCCCGCCAGCTGCCCATGGAAACCCGGCTTCGGGATGGGAGGCACCTGAAACAAACAGGACGGAGTGCTGATCCCAAAAGGCGGCGGCTCCAGAGCCAAAAATAGCCTCACTCGTTTCAAGAGAGCTCTGACCAATGAAGCACACACAACTCCATCAGCAGAAAAGAAAGAAAGAAAAAAAAGAAAACCAATGAAGCGGAAAACCAGTTCAGTCCAACAGGGACTGGGCTCCGGGAGCTTCCCGACAGGCTCACCCCCGCCCACCCTCCTCCTTGCCCCAGTTACAAACTGGCTCACACCCAGCCCCGTCACCCCCATGCCCACGGTGTGTGCACACAGCCCGTCGATGTAACCTCCGGGTCGGGGCCAGACGGGCACTGGGAGCCGAACATCAGCCCCCACGAGCCCTGGTCCTCGGGGCGCCCCGGAGCCAGCGAGTGAGCAACGATGGGCGATGGCCCCCACCAGGGCCGGGCGGATGGGAACGGGTGTGGCTCTCCGCCCCCACTCCCACCCGCCCCCTCGGTGTTTTTCGGGGGCCCACTGAGTCAGAACTACCTGTCACCCCACTTCCTCCTCATCTGCATCTTCACCTGCTGTGACTTGACTTGGGCCGCTGGCTGGCTGGCTGGCTGGCTGGCGAACCCGACACTGGCATGGCTAGCGCCTCTAGGGTTCCCCCAATGTGTCACCTAACTCTTCCGGGACGGGAACTGGGGGGATGCCCAGCACACAAAACATCGGGAATAAAAGCACCAGATCTAGCCGGCGGCGGCGGAGAAACCCTCTTTATTGATAGGGTCCCCAAGGCCTAGGGGAGTGAGGGGTAGCTGCCCAGAGCATCCTGGGACCCAGCCCCACACTTCAGAACCCAAGGAACCGGCGGCCTCGGGTCCCACACACCGCCCCCTCCTCCCACCGCCACCCCATTCCCAACCCCAGGAACCGGCCCTGGGGAGGACAGAGGGCGGGGATGGCTGGTCCAGGCGCAGGGACCTGCAGGGTTCGAATCCTTCCGGTCCTCAGCAGCACCGGACACTCCCTCCAGCAGCACCTGCCCATGCCTCCTGGCCTGCAGCATCTCCCCCCCCTTTCCCAGTCCCTCCCGCAGGCTCCATCCTTCCCAGCCAGGGGGGCCGGGGTGAAGCCCCCCTGAGACTTCGGCCGGCGATGGCAGGGGTACCCACCTGCGTCTCCGGGGAAGGCGCTGTCCCCGTCGCTGGGCCAGATCTGCCCGGTCTTGCGCACGCCCACGATGGTGGCCTCGGACACCACGACGGGGCCGTGGCGGTGGCGCCGGGGGCACTGCGGCGTGGGCGGCGGGCTGGGGCCGCTGTCCAGCGACTGCTGCGAGGTCTGCGAGGGCGAGCGGCTCCGGTCGCGGCCCGGGGGGCGGCGGCGGCCGGCGGCGGCGGCGGCGGGGCTCGGGGACACGCGGCCGGACTGGCCGCCGGACGACACGTCCTCCTCCTCCTCCTCCTCCTCCTCGCTGGACGTGAGGTTCTCGTTGGAGCTGCAGTCCGGCGTGTAGCCGCCGCCGCTGTCCTCGAAGCTGCGGGGCGAGTAGGAGCGGCGCGGCCAGGTCAGGCGGCGCTCCGGCGGGGGCTCCGCGGCGGGGGCGGCGCTGCTCTGGCTGCGCAGGAGCCCCGGGGCGCCCCCGGCCTCGCCCCCCGCCGCCGGCGGGCCGCCCACGAAGACGCTCTGGTAGGGCTGGTGCGGCTCCAGCGGCGGCCAGGCGGCGGCCGGCACCAGGTTGTCCCGGAGGAAGCGCGCGTTCAGCTCGGCGTCCTCGTAGTCGCCGTCCAGGCCGCGGGGCGGGCTGTCGGCGGGGCGCGCGCGGGGCTGGGCGAGGGGCGCGCCCCGCTGGCCCCTGCGGCGCTCCAGCTGCATGGCCTGGCTGCCCAGCGAGCTGATGCGCTCCGACACCTCCTTGTCGTTGACCTTCACCAGCCCGCGCTCGTGGTGGAACTCGACGTTCACGTAGAAGGGCTGGTCGGCGGCGGCGGCGGCGGGGTCGGCCTTGCGGACCCTCTCGAAGTTGGAGCGGAGCGCCGCCACGCTGGTGGGGGGACCCCCGCGGTCGTTCCGGTCGTCCCGGTCGGCGGCCCCGGGCCGGCGGGCGGGCGCGGGCCTGGCGGCTTTGCCCGGGGAGCCCTCTCCGTCGGGCCGGGCCTCGGGCGGCTCCTCGGCCGGAGGAGGAGGAGGCGGCGGCGGGGCGGCGCCGTCGGGGGGCGGCGCGGGGCGCGGCGCGGGCGCGCGGGGCTCGGCGGCGGCGGCGGGGCCGTCGGGGGGCTGCGCGGCGCCCCGGAAGCCCCAGCGCTGGCGGTCGTAGCTCTTCCGCTCCTTGGCCAGCAGCGTCTGCAGGTAGATCATGCGGAAGCGCTCCTGGTTCACCTCGCGCTCCAGCCGCCGGATGGAGGCCCGGCAGCGCTCCAGCTCCTGCTCGATGTCGCCCGCCGAGCGCAGCTCCATGCGCGGCGGCTCCGAGTCCGGGAACTGCGCCCGCCACGCCTCGGCGAAGCCCACCGGGTCCACCATGGCGCGGCCGCTCACCTGCGCCGCCCGGCGGCCGCTGCGCGCGGGGCGGGCGGGGATGGGGGGGGGGGGCCCGGCTCAGCGGCGGCGGCGCGGCGGCCTCGCCAGGCCCGGCCCCGGGCGCCCGGCGCCCCCCATGGCCCCGCGAACAATGCCCGCCCCTCCCGGCAGGTGAGGCGGCGCTGGGCTCCGGGCGCGCGGGCGGGCGGGGCGGGCGGGGTTGGGGTGCGGGGGGGACGGGCGCGGGCGGGCGGGGGTGCGGGTGCGCGCTCGGCTATTGTGTGCGGGGCGGGCCGCGCTGCCGCCGCCGCGCCGGGCGCCGCTAGTCCGAGGCCGCCGCCCGCGCGCCCCTCTCCGCCTGCATCCGGGCCGCCGCCTCCCGCCGCCCGCCCCGCCCGCCGCCCCGGCCACTCTGCGCGGCCCGCACCGGCGCCGCAGGAAGGGGAGGGCCGGGGGCGGCGGCTGACGGCGCCGGGCGGGCCTCTTAAAGGGGCCGCGCCGCGAGGCGCCCGCGGAGGGGCGGGGAGAGGCGGGGAGAGGCAGGGAGAGGGGGGCGGGGGGCGGGGAGGCCTCTCCCACCGCGAGCCGCTGCCCTCCTGGTCCCCGCGCTCGGCTGGAAGCAGGCCCCGGCGGCGAACCCTGCATCCACCCCAGAGGCCCTCTGCACCCCGGGGCTGGGCCCTCCTGCACCCCGGGGCCAGGCCCTTCTGCACCCTCCACCCCCATCGTGCCGGGCACACCTGGCCCCTGTTTCCCATGCCCCCGGCCACGCAGCAGCCTGAGGGTGGAGCTGGGAGGGGTGGGGTGGAGCTGCCCAATGCCCGCAGCGGCCCCTGGTGCCAGGCTGGGGTGGGTGATGAAGCAACAGCTGCCAAACAGGATCCCCACAGAGAGAATCCACAGGAATTTCTCCCCAGGCCACTCAGCACCGCACCTCCCTTCCCTTAGCCCTGTTCCAGATGTTTGCGCCCCTCCACACCCCCCATCTCTCCTGCGCTCCAGAGGCCAGGGGAGTGCCCCCGAATGGCCTGTCTCGGAGCTTGCCTGCCTCGCCTTCCTCCGGGGGTGCCGGCCTGCAGACAGGACCGCCGGGCGGGCAGTGAAACAGCATCTCCGCTCCTGCCCCAGGGACTCCCCGAGACTCCAGACCACACACGGCAGAGAGCACAGAGTGGGGAGTGCGATGGCGCAAAGGAAAATGCCCAAACCAGCCCGCTGGGCCCTCGAGGGGGAAGAAACAGGATTGGTCAACCGGAGACTGGGCGTGAGTGCGGGCCTGGGCGTTGGCATGAGAGCAAGGGTGCCTGCCTCCCATGATGCTGTCCCTGGGTGCATGTGAGGGGTATCTATTTTTTTTAAATATATTTTATTGATTTTTTTACAGAGAGGAAGGGAGAGGAAGACTGATGAGGAACATCGAGGAGAGAGAAACATCAATCAGCTGCCTCCTACATCCCCCCCACTGGGGTTGTGCCCGCAACCAAGGTCCATGCCCTTGCCCGGCATCGAACCCGGGGCCCCCCAGTCCACAGGCCGACGCTGTATCCACTGAGCAACACCGCTCAGGGCGAGGGGGTATCTTTTTATTTATATATTGTTTTTATTGATTTTTAGAGAGAGGAATGGAGAGAGAGACACACCAAGGAGAGAGGAACATCACCGATGGTCTGCCTCCTGCACGTACCCCCACTAAAGACTGAGCCCGGGCATGTGCTCAGATCAAGAATCGAACCGACGACCTCCCAGTTCCTGGACCCACGCTCAACCCACTGAGCCACCCCGGCCGGCCGGGCCATGAGGGCTTCTCTTGCCCTCCCCCCAGTTCCAGGGCCACCCCGGTGAGACGCCCTGGTGTCTAAGTCAGAGCCCAGGGCCAGGGCCCTGCTGCCCACAACAGGCTCTTTGGCCTGGGCAGCTCCCGCCCTTCGCTGAGCCGGTCTGGTGCTCCTACATAAGACGCTGTGAGCACTGGCTGTTCACACTCAGGGGCCAAACCGGAAACACACCTGGGCTAAGGCACGGGGTGTTCTGTTCCTGGTTAAGGAGGCTCTCAGAGTCACCCGAGAGCCCTTGGGGCCGACTTCCAGGCACAGCTCCCTGCTGCCCTCTGCAGGCCGCTCTGCCGCCCTGCCTGCAGGGCCGGCCCAGGCCAGGCCGACACCTCAGTGGTGCTCCCGTCCTCCGTGACCGCATCTCTGAAATGGGTACAATCGGAGCCGCCTGACAGCTGTTGGAGGGGCGGTGGGTGGGGGGCGCTGGATGAAAGAGGGTGAAGGGATTCGCCAAAAAGCATATGCAGGGTGTCCCCACCCCGTGTACACTCGCTTTACCGGCTGGTAACTCACTGAGTTTTCACTCCTTTTCAGGTTTAACGCATTTGAAATAGTGGGGAAGCCAGACAAAGCTCTGAACAAAGAAAATGTGCCCACTAGACTATGTATGGGGATACAGAAAAGGTATACACTTTACAATTAAAAAAACTGGCAACTGTGGACGAGTTGAAGGGACACAAATACCAAACAAAATGATTTTTAAAATATATATTTATTTTTATTGATTTCAGAGAGGAAGGGGGAGAGAGAGATGGAAACATCCATGATGAGACAGAATCATGGATCGGCTGCCTCCTGCACGCCCCACACTGGGGATCGAGCCTGCAACCCAGGCCTGTGCCCTGACAGTGTCCAGAGATGGATGCTCGGCCATGGAGCCATGCAAGCCTGGGTCAAGTTCACTTTAAACCTGTATGGTTTTGTGAACCAATGTCATCCCCAATGAAATAAAATGGGAAGGGTAAGTCCTGGCCTCGCAGGGGGTGGCTCAGCATCCATATGGCCACCCAGCAAGCGGGCCAGGCAGGCTCAGGCCCCGGGCGCTGGCGGTCAGCAGAGAGAGGACCCCCAAGCCTCTGGTGTGCAGGCCCCGGCTCAGCCCCACCTTGAATGTCGTAGACAGAAGCAGACGTAGCGCCCAGACCCCGCAGATGTGTGGTTGGGGTTGGCGGCTCTTCTCTGGCCAAACGGCAGGTCTTTGAGCACAAGGACACGGCCAGATAGCTGCTATCTCCCTGAGGGACGGTTTCTTCCCACCCAAGGACACCTCCCGTCCTCAGCCTCTTTCTGAGCGAGCTCTGAGCTCCCGCCCGGCTCTCTGGTGCTTTCCCGCAAAGCTTATCACCCAGCCCTTCCCGGGAGGGAGTGGAGGGAGGGGGGAGGGAGGAGGAAAGTGGGGCCCAGACACTGTGTGGTTCCCCATCTGCTGTCTGTCCCCGGCTGGACCTAAACTCTGAGTGCAGACACCTGACTCTGGTTACCCATGACGCCCCCCCCCCGCCCCCCTCAGTCAGTGCTGGGGAGTGAGGAGCCCATGTGGGTGGCCCAGGGGGGAGGTGCAGGTGTGCGGGGGAGGAATTGACAAGACAAACGGAGCCGAGCCTGGCAGAGGGCTGTGTGCCTGCTGTGTGGGCACCAGGGGGAGGCGGAGTCTGAGGGGAGGGGACGCCTGAGCTGGTCCTGGGATGAGGAACAGAGTGGCAAAGGCATGAAGAATAAGAGGTCCTAGATGTGTGTAAGGAGCATCTAGGTTAAAATGCGGATTAGCTGTCAACCGGTTAAAATTGCGGATTTTAGCCAAAACCGGTGTGGCTCAGTGGATAGAGCGTCAGCCTGCAGACTGAAAGGTCCCGGGTTCGATTCCAGTCAAGGGCATGTACCTTGGTTGTGCGCACATCCCCGGTAGGAGGTGTGCAGGACGCAGATGATTGATGTTTCTCTCTCATCGATGTTCCTAGCTCTCTATCCCTCTCCCTTCCTCTCTGTAAAAAGTCAATAAAATATATTTTAAAAAATAAAAATGCAGATTTTATAATCAAAGGAAACACGATAATTTCAAGAGAAATATCAAAAGCGCTTTCTTAAAGTAGCTCAGCCACATATGTCCCCCATCATTGGTGGGTACCGTCCCAATAGAACTTCTCTTCTGCTGAGGCAGACCATGCAGAGACCCCACTGTCCACGTCTGCGTCCGTGTGGAAGTGCCGCTCACACAGGGCGTGTGCCCTCGAGGGGAACACGTGGACCTCTGAAGGAGCGAGGGCTGGTGAACACGGCGGGTGGGTTCACACTTCCCAGGCAAGATCTTTTCACGTGTCTTTACCTGGTTGTGTGCGTTTGGGATTCTCAAAATAGATCCACTTTTCATGGCCGGTCACATTGGATGCCAAAAAGACTTCCTTTCCTGCCGTTCGTTGTAACTCCAGTTCTTGACAATGATCCGCACCGGTAACCGGTACACCTGGCAGAGTCACCTGGTTGCCAGGGCTCTCACCGGCTGCCCGCCTGGGGCGAGGGACCCCTTCCCCATGACCTCCCTCACAGCCACCACCTGGGCGGGAGGGAGGCAGGGGAAGGTGCTGGGCCCAGCGGCCTGGGCCCCGGAGGCCGCTCCGGCCCCGGCTCACAGGCAGTGGTCCGCGCGGCGCTGTGAGGGTGCGGGCTCTCTGCCTGAAGTGTCCCCCCCCCCCCGCCCCGTGAGCCCCCGAGAGCTGAGGCTTTTCCGTGTTCCTCCCGGGCCTGTCTGCACCCCCATCCCCACCCGCTTTGGGGGTCAGAGGCCAGAGCAGAACTCCCTCCCAGGAGCAGGTCCGCACGACCCCCATCTGTCATCTGTCAGCCCCCATCCGTCACCTGCCCGCCCCGGGAGCTGCAGGCGGGATCTGGAAGCGGGCGATCGATACAGCTGTTCTGGTCGCTGTGCTGGACGTTCCCCTGGCCTACGGGGCACCTCCTCCCGCCTCCCGCCTCCCGCAGGGGTGGGGAGCCGTCTCCCCAGGACTTCCTCTCCTCCCGGGCCCCCTCGGCTTCTGCAGAATCAATTATTGACGAGGCCTGGCAGCCGGCTGTCCCAGGGGAGGGCTCTGGCTGCTCCCTCCCCCCTCTCGCCGTCCTGAGGGGGGAGGGGCGGGCAGGGACAGGAGGAGCCTGTTCGGAAGGCCTGGCCACGGAGGCGGTCCTGGCGTGGCTTCCCGTGGCCAGAGGCCGGAGCACCCTCAGGCCGGGGAGGCACGCACCTGGGGGGCGGGGAGCCCTGAGGCCTGAGCGGGAGGCCAGCTGCCCAAAGGGCCGCAGCCAGGCTGACAGCTCTGGGCCGCCTGGGCCGCGGGCTCGGACAGGTGGGGGTGCCCTGGTGCTGGGCGGCCTCTGGGCGTGGCTGGAGTCCGGGAAGGAGGCGGCCTGACAGGGACAGTTCCAGCCGCCGCGCAGCCCCCCTCTGGGGAGCCGCCATATGGGAGGTGACACGGGGCCGGAGCAGATGGCAGGGTGGCCCGGAGCCGCGGGGGGGGGGGTCTTGTCTCCGGGCCATGGCCTGAGCCTTGGGCTCCCTGGGTGGCAGGCCCCCCATCTTCCGGAGCCCTTCTGCGTCAGAAGCAGGGCCCCCCCCTCTGAGCTGGGCCCTGCCTCCACCTTCCCCGGTCCCTGCCCCGGGGCCCCTCCTGCAGCCCCTACAGCCGGCAGCGCCTCGCTCCTCGCCCGGCCTCTCCCTGTTCACCGATGCTCACTCCTGTGGATGAGTGACCGTGTGGAAGCCACTGATGGCCTCTTCTCCCGTCCAGCTCCCTGGTCTCCCTGCTGGGCATGCCCTGGGTCCCTTCGAGAGCAAGGTTTGCCGGGAGGGCCCCCAGCCCCTCCCCAGACCGGATGGGAGGGGAATGGACTGGCCTCTCTCCCTCCCGAGGCGCAGGCAGGGCCGGGAGGGGGTGCAGCAGGCAGGGCCGGGACCCACTAAGGACTCGGGTCGGAGTGAGGACAGGGCGCCTGCAGGGCATTGGGACGGGAGCGGCCAGGTCATCCGGTTAGACAGCCCACCAGCCCCCGACGCCAGGCTGTGCCCAGCAGAACCCGCCGGGAAGGAGCCTCCCAGCTGCGCACAGCGCCCCCCGCCCAGGAGCGCCCCCACTGGCCGGACGCCCCTCTGCATGCAGAGCTCTGGACGCGTTTTGTTTGACAATCAGCACACGTCCCATTTAAGGGTGATGTTTATGGAGGATTTTATTGATATATCGTCTTAAAGAGAAAGCTAAAAGCGTGGCAAAGGGGAATAAGCAGAAAAAGACACCGGTGTTCGCCCCCAGGGACGCTGGGCGGGCCCTGCCGGGGTGCGGGGTGGCACTCCTGGGGCTGTGGTGGGTGGGGGTGTTAGATGCCCTCCTGGGGGAGCAACCCCAGAGCATAGAGAGGGCGTGGCTCCGGGCAGGAGCTGGGCTGGGGCAGGACCTGGGCCTGCACGGCTGGGTGGGCAGGGGGTGGGCTGACGGGCACGCTGACTCTGGGGGACCTCGGTGTCCTCTGAGGACGCGTGGGTGCCATCGCAAAGGCCCCGAGAGGCGAGTGCCGGCATCTTCTCGTTCCCAGGCCTTTCCCGGGCAGGCTGGAGGGAGAGGGGGGCAGCAGGGGCAACCGTGGGCACTACTAAGCCAGGGGCAGAGCGGGCAGTGCCATGCTCAGGGGACACAGCAGCGAGCCCCTCGGGGCGCTGGGCAGGCTTTCCCTGCAGCCGGTGGGGAGACGGGTTGGCAGGTGGCCTTGCCCACGCCCAGAGGGCAGGACCGGGATCTGGGTGAGCCAGAGAGGCCGTCTCACCCGTCCTCCTCCAGACAGTAGGGGTCCCACGAGAGAGGCAGACCCGGGGGCCCCGCACGGCTCCGGCAGAGGGACGGTGGACGGGAGACCCGGAAGTGTGAAGGGAAGTCCAGGCCGGGGGGTGAGCCGTCCTGGTGCCCCCTCCGCCCGGCCTGAGGCTCCTCGAGGGGCAGACGGGGGCATGGGGGGTCTGTGGGTGAGCCGGGCCTTCCAGAGGGCACAGCGTGGGCCCCGGGCAGCCGTGAGGGCTTTCCTGCCAGAGGGGAGGGGGGCGGGGAGGGGGGCGTGGGCAGGTCCGTCGCAGAGTTCGGGCTCCACGTCCTGCTCCGCAGCCTCATGGCGCTGCCCGCGGGTGTCGGGATTGGAGGCCTCGGACACAGACCCCGGCTAACAGCAGCCCTGGCCCGAGGGCAGCTCGTCCCAGTCGGCCTCAGAGCGCCTGCCCTCCACCCCTGGAAGGAGGGGAGAGGAGGGGAGGGGAGGGGAGGGAAGGGGAGGGGAGGGGAGGAGAGGAGGAGAGAGTCACTCTGCATCAACCAGGCACCTGCAGGGACACGGGACGGGCCCCCTGGTGGCTGCTGGTCAGAGGTCAGAGGTCAGAGGTCTCTCATTCATGGCCGGGCACGCACGGGCACACATTCCAGGTGACGGGCAAAGGCAGGAACCAGGAGAGCCACAGCCAGGACACCCCGTGGAGCCGGTGCCCAGCCTGCTCGTGGGGGCACTGCCGGGCGGACGGGGGACCGCGGAGGGGTCTGGGCTGGCAGGCGGGTCGGGGGGACGGGAGGAAGGAGCCCGGCCGCCCCCGCCCCGCCCCGGCCGGCCGGCCGGCACGCACGGATGAGGTCCCCGTCGGCGATCCGGCGCAGCAGGCAGGCGCTCTTCCGCTCCAGGGCCAGCAGCACCGAGCGCTCGAAGGCCAGGGCGGCCACGCGGCTGAAGAAGGCCTTCACGTTCTCGCCTGCGAGCCCAGGAGACGCCCTGAGCTTCCGCCGTGGGGCCGGGCGGGGACAGCGGGGTGCGGGACAGACCTCTGCCCTGGCTCCCACGTCTGCTCCTCCAGCCAATGGCGCTGAGCCGCCCGCGGCCCGGTGTGGGGTGGGACCTGGGGCACCTGCCGGCGCACAGCTGGAGGACTGGCCCCGGCTGCCCGCCCACTGGGAGTCCCCCTCCCAGGGGAGGCTGCCCTCCCGGCCACAGGACGGGGCCCAGGCCCCTCACGCTCCCCGGTGCAGCCCGCAGCCTGTCCGGCAGGCGGCGGGGGGGCCCTCGGGACGCCTGCCGCCCCCCTGGCGGGAGGGAGCCCTCCAGGGCACGGGTGCCGTCGGAAGGAGCAGAGGGCACCAGCCTGGGCGCTGCCTCCCTGTCCCAGGCCCCTCACAGGCCAAGGGCCGCCGTGTGGTGTCGTTCTGACCCCGGCCCTCTCTGCGCCGGGCACTCACGGCCCGTCATTCCCTTCCGGGCCGGCCGCAGCTCAGCTCTGCGGCACCGGCGGGTTTTTCTCGGTGCACACACCTGGCTTTCGCAATTTCAAACCCGCTTTTCCGTTAAAAATAACGAGGTGAGCAGCGCCGCCTGCTTCCCAGGCTCAGGGCCTGCGGCTCAGAGACGCTGGGCACGTGGCCCCCGGGGAAGGCGGCCCAGGGCCCGGGGGCCGGCTCCGGTGGACCTGGCTGAGGCCGGAGGCCGTGAGGTCTCGTATCTCCCACGATGACACCCAGGGGAGGGAGGGGACCCCGTTCCGTGTGCCAGGCGGTGCCCCCCCCCCGGGCACCCACAGGTGCAGTGGTTAGCGAGGCCGGGGTTCCAATCCCAGACCTGACACCGCCGCCCGGGACCCTGGAAGCCGCTTCCCAGGGACAGAGGGACTGCCCATAGGGTCAGGGGTCGCTGTTACTGTGGCCCAGGGGCAGGGTCCGGTCTCCCCAGGAGGGGGCGCTGCCCGGGCGACAGGAGGCCCTGCCCGGCCTCAGCACGGCCGGCTGCGAGGCGGGCGCCCGCTGGGCTGCAGAGGCGGGGGCGAGCCCCAGCCACCCGCCCGAGCCCCCCGCGCCGCGCCCCCCGCCCCCCGCCCACTCACCCGTCTTCGCCGACACCGACCAGTACTCGGCCAGCATCTCGTTGGCCAGGCGCACGGCCTGGCGCTCCGCCTGCTCACACGCCGCCCTGGACTGGGGAAGCGGCTCTTCTAAGAGGCGTGGGCGCCGCCCACTGGGCCTCCGTCCCATCTCACTGGGCAGGGCGGGCCCAGGGCAGGGGGGAGACCCCCCCCCCCCAGCAGCGCCCCGGAGAAGAGCTCCCCTAACTTCAGGCCCCGGGCCTGCGGCTTCAGATCCTCACCCAGCCACGCCGGGCCGCCCTCCATCCGGGCTGGGGCTGCAAGCGGATCCGTTTCCCGGGGACCCCCCCCGGGACCCCCCCTTTCCCCCCGGCTCACCAGAAGGTCCTTCTTGGTTCCCACGAGGTAAAGGAAGAAGGAGCCCGGCTCGTTCTCCTTCAGTGCGTCCTCCAGCCACTGCCTGGGATGCACGGGGATCGGGGGACCAGCTGAGAGGCACCCCACCACCCGGAGAGGCCCGAGAAAGGCCGGGGGTGGGCGCAGACCCGCCGCAGGGCGGGAGACGGAGCTGGGAGGGTGCCGGGGCCCAGCGGGCTGAGAAGGCGCCGGCTGAGACCGGAGGGGCCTGGAGCCCCCCCCGAGCACCGGCCCAGGGCGGTGGAAACCAGTCTCGGCCGGGGCTCTGCCGGCTGGGGTGACCCTGCACTGCCACGAGCTGGGACGCCCACCCGGCCCTCCAGGCTTTGGAGATGCGAGATGTGCGCACCCACAGGTGGGAGGGGCAGGGACCGGCTCTGGGCCGGGGATCCCGGCAGAGGCAGGACGGCCTCGGTGCTGGTAGAGTGGGCAGCTCCGGCCCCATCCCTGCCCCAGACGGCAGGTGCCGGGCGCGACCCTCCCAGGGGACTGGCCACGGAGCTGGCAGGCCCGGGGACAGGAACCGACGCGGCCCTTCGTCCAACAAGGAGGCTCTCCAGGTGGCTACCGGGGTGAAGAGCGGCCTCAGGCGGCGCGGGGGGCAAGTCCTGGGCTAACGAGGGCCTGGCCAGCGAGCTCTCCCTCGCACCTGCCACCGGGGCCCAGCTCAGGGGCCCCAGGGGGACCGAGGGCTGCAGGCGCCAGACTTGCCTGGCGTGTTCCAGGGTCTGCATATCCGAGAGGTCAAAGGCAATGATGATCACTGCGCGTGGAGGGGAAGCCAAGAGCTAGTCAGCGACGGGGAGGCGACAGGGCGTGACAAGCGGGGCCCTTGGGTCGGCTCCCTGATCCCCAGGAACTGCCGGGTGGCCCCCAGGCACTCGGCTCTGGCCCCCACGTTGGCCAGGAAGGAGCCAGCCCGAGGCTGCCCCTGGTGGCCCACCCCCAGCGGTGCAGCCCCCGTGGGGGATCCCCTGAGGCCCCTCTCCCCTGCAGAGCCTCGGGCTGCGGGCGCTTGGGGCAGAGCAGCTGTTTTAAAGCTCCTGGTGCAGGGCCTGATGCAGGCAGATTCGGGACCGGTGGCCGCTATTAAGAGCAGTTAGCACCCTGGCCGGTGCGGCTCAGTGGAGAGAGTGATGGCCCGAGGACTGAAGGGTCCCGGGTTCGGTTCCGGTCAAGTGCATGTACCTCGGTTGCAGGCTCAATCCCTGGCCCTGCAACCCACTGCATGACCAATCCCTGGTCATGGCCGTGTGGGAGGCAACCCATCAATGTGTCTCTCTCCGTCTCTCCTCTCTCTTCTGCTCCCTAAAAACCAATGGGAAATACCCTCATTGGGGTGAGGACTAACAACCACGAATATGCAACAGGCGGTTTGTGAGCTTAAACCACCAGTTTTGGGGAAATAGCTGATGGGGGCAGGGAGGGCAGAACATGGATATGCAGCCCACCCCCCCCAGCTCCTCCCATCGCTGGCCCCGCCCCCCGCCCGAGTCAGCGTGGCTCTCTGGGGGTTCGGACACGTGTCTCCCCTGCGTCCCTTTCGGAGCTGACACTGGGGCCGAGACTCTCGGAGCCCCATCCCCACCGTCCCCACAGGGTGTGACTGCTGAGCCAGCAGGGGTCCTCAGTGCCTCTTGGGGACGGAGCTGGCACTGCGTGGGGGGCCAGCTGAGCCTGGCGGGAGCCCTCGGTGCATGATGGTGGGGGCCCCGCCGTGGCCGCCCCCCGGCTGCTCACCCTGGGCTTTCCGGTAGTAGGCAGACGCGATGCACTTGAACTTCTCCTGCCCTGCTGTGTCCCAGCTGTGCGGAGGCAGAAAGGGGGCGGGGGGAGAGAGGGAAAGAGAGCAGCAGGTTAAGTGCCTGCAGGGTCAGAGCTCAGCAGACCGAGGCCCACGCCGCACAGGAAGTGCCTGCAGCCGGCCAGCCGTGCCCACTTCCAAGAGGAGGCGGAGTTACAGCCCATCCCTCTGGCCCTGCCATTCTAAAACAGAATATGGCCGCCCGGCCAGCGTGGCCAGTTTGGCCCCGTTTTCCAGATGGAACAGAGGCTCAGAGGCCGGAAGTGACTGGCCAGAGGCCGCCTGGGGGGCCTGGCGTGTGGGGTCCCCGGTGGCCAGGTGGGGAGGCGTGTGGTCCTGGGCCCTGCCTGGTCCCACGGGTCCCGGCTGAGAGCCACGAGAAAGAGCCCGTCGGGGTGTCCTCAGACCGTCCCCCTTGCCCCCCCCCCCCCGCAGGCACCGGCGCCGCCGGCGGCACTCACATCTGGAGGCTGAAGGGGACCCCGGCAATCTCGAAGCGCTCGATCTCGAAGTCCACTCCGATGGTGGCCTTGTAGTTGTGGTCAAACACATTCTTGCAAAACCTGTGGGAGCGGGCACGTCAGCAGAGGCTGCGGGGAGGCTTGGTGGCCGTGAGAGTCTGGGGGCGCCGGGGAGCCCCCCGCTGGGCGTCGCTAAGGAGGCCACAGTCCCGAGACAGGCCGTGGAGGGACAGCCAACAGGATTATGGGGGGCCCGGCGGCGTGATTCTGTGGCCGGGGGTCAACCTGTGAACCAGGAGGTCACGGGTTCGGTTCCCGGTCAGGGCACAGGCCCGGGTGGCGGGCTCGATCGCCAGTGCGGGGCGTGCAGGAGGCAGCCGGCCAATGTGCTCTCACATCAGTGTTTCTCTCTCTCTCTCCCCCTCTCCCTTCCTCTCTGAAATCAATAGTTTCATTTAATAAAACGATTATGTGGGGAGACAGGTCGGGGCAGAGAGAGAGAGAGAGAGGGGGGGGGGGGGATGGGGAACGGGCATGCTCTCACAGCGAGGGTGGGGAGGGCGCCCACAGCGCCAGGGGGACAGTGTGCCCGATGCTGGGTCCTGGGATGCCAGGCTCTCCGCTGACCCCCCCCCCGGCCCCCATTCCTGCACCCCTTCCCCGGGTGTGCCTCCGGGCAGTGCCCTCTGGGCCTCCCGGCAAAGCCCCGGAGCCTGGTGCTTACCTGTGGACGAGGCTGGTCTTGCCCACGTGGAGGTCGCCGATGACCACGGCCTTGGCGAGGCGGAGCCTGCGGGGCGGCGTGTGGCGCTCAGGCTGGGCCACGGGCACCTCCCACACTCAGTCCTCCCCCCGCGGCCCCCCTGTGAGCCCCTCCCCCATCCCTGCAATCCTGCAAGGGGGCTTTTCTCCTTAATCCTCAGCCGAGGGTACCTTTCCACGGATGTTTAGAGAGCGTGGAAGAGAGAGGGAAAGACAGAAACATCGACGTGAGAGAGGCACAGCAACTGGTTGCCTCCTGCACCCCCTGACCAGGGCTGGAGCCAGGGAGGAGCCTTAACCGGACTGGAACCCGGGACCCTTCAGCCCACAGGCTGATGCTCCATCCACTGAGCAACACTGGCCAGGGTGCTGGGTGTGTGTGTGGGGGGGACACTTGCTGGGACACTCGGGGTGTCTGCCCCGCTCTGGAGGTGCAGGAGGGTCTGCATTTGTTCTGGGGGCCCTGCTGTCCCCCCCTCCCCCCCTCCCCCCGTGAGTGTTCAGGCAGCAGCACTCCGGGGCTGCGGGTGGTCCTCGGAGTTCCTGCAGCTCCCGCCAAAGCTCAGCGGGTACCAGGGCCCGGTGTCCGTGATGGAGGCCCTTCTCCCTCACACACCGGCTCCTCCTGGAGCCGCGTGCTCTCTGCCTCCTGGGGTCATTACTTTGCATCCAACGGGCAACGCTCACAGGCCTGCGGCCCCTGAGCCCGCTCCCATCAGATGAGGCCGAAGGTGCTGGAGCCCCAGCTCAGGTGGAGGTGGTGGGAGGGAGGGCCCTGCTCCGTGCCCTGCTCCGTGCCCTGCTCCATGCCCAGCTCCATGCCCAGCCCGTGCCTGGTGCTCTGGCCCAGACCCTCTCCACTCCCCTGAGAGGTGTTTCCTTGCTCCCTCCCCTCCCTCCCTCCCTCCGGATTTACTGGGCCCCTGTCTGTGCCCGGGGCTGGGGCACAAAGGCAAAGCTAGCACCCAGAAAAGGGCTGTGGCTGTGGTGGGTGTAGGGGAAAGGTCCCAGTGACTCAGGAAGGTCCCAGTGGAGGTAAAGCCCCGCTGGGACTGGGAGGATGAGGAAGGGCATTCCAGGAGGAGGGAACTGCAGGTGCGAAGGCGGGGAGGCAGGAGAAGCCCGCCGGACTGGGAACTGTGGAGGCGCTGGAGCCCAGGCCCAGGAAGCTGCTGGGTGAGGCGGGGGTCCCAGAACTCGCTGCCTGGCCCCTCTGCCTCCTGTGCGCCCGGCTGCCGGGCCAGGAAGAGGCCCCGCCCACCTGCCCCAAAGGAGGCATGAAGCTGGAGAGAGGGATGAGGAGGGAGGGGCCGGCTGGTGTGTATTTTTGGATTGCTCAGAAGAAATCTCCTCCCCCTCCTTCTCCTCTTCCTCCTCCTCCTCCTCCTCTGACACCATGGCAACCAGGCAGCAGCTGGGGGAGCACCTGTGAGCTGGGCTGAGTTGAGGGGAAGGTGGGCTGAGGGTAGAGACCTCTGCTCCACCTCTCCGAGCCTCAGTTTTGGCGTCTAGAATATGGGCCCCACCACCCAGGTGCTGGCTCCCGTCAGCCAGGTGCCCCAGGAAGCGGAGGCCCAGGCTGGAGGGCGAAGGCCTGGGGGCGAGCCAGGTGGTGCACCCTCTGCACCCGCATTGGCGCTGCCCAGGAGCCCGGGGGCGGAGGCAGGGCCCAGCACAGACACAGGGATGGCCTCCCTGTGAGCCCTGCAGGGAGGTCAGGGGTCCCCCCGCCGGAGCACAGGGCTCAGGTGCTCCAGAACCCGGTCAAAGACTGGCCTAAACCCCGCGGTCAGCAAACTGTGGCTCTTTGGCTCCTTGAGTGTTCTGGGCCCCACTCAGCACTCGGCACTCTCGGCCTCCCCCGCGGCCCCGAGGACCCCTGAGCCCGGCCCAGCCTGTCCCTCCCCCCGGGTCCTCAGTCTGGGGGGGTGACCCGCAGACACTGGGGTGCAGACACCAGGGGGGCCCTCCGCCCTCACATACCTCCCAAAGGCCCAGAGCGCCGGGTCTGCTGACGTCACCCCGGAGGGCGGGGCCTGCGCCGTGCGGCCACCAGAGGGCGTACGTGCCTCCGGGGCCGCGGGATGCCCACCTGCCCCACAGCCCTCCTCAGTGTCCCCGCCCCCGCTCCCCCCCTCCCGCCAAAGGGGAACCAGGTGTGTCTCATCACTCCCTTCCTCGCTGAAATCAATAAAAAATACTTAAAAAAATAAAAAGAGCAGGAAGAGCAGGACAAACGGAGACGGTGCTGAGACCCCGGCTGGCACAGCAGGGGCCGGACGTGCTGGGAAATGGTCCCGTGGAGCCGAGCGCCCAACGAAGCAGCAAAAACCCCCATCGCGTGCAGGCCTGAGCTGGGCTGCCCCGTGCCGTGTGTCACGTGCGCGAGTGTCACGTGCGCGTGTGTCACGTGTGCGTTCCCACGTCCGCGCGTGTGTCACGTGTGCGTTCCCACGTCCGCGCGTGCCCTCGCGCCTCCCTGCCGGCCCCCACGCCCACGGCCCTGGGCGCTGAGGGCTGCTCACCCGAAGGTCGCCCTGCTCCTGCGCTGGCAGGCGGCAGGGACCTGCCCGTGGAAGCGCTCCTTGAGCTGCAGGCAGGCGGCCGGCGTGTAGAACTGCGGAGAGGGAGGGAGGGAGGCAGGCAGACAGACAGACAGACAGACAGACATGTGGGCACCTGGCCCCGCCACGCTGCGGCTCCACCCCCAAGCCGGACCTGCCACCGGCCCTTCCCCCTTGCCCCACACCACGCCGGCAGCCCCTGGCTCTCCCCGGCCCATCCCCTCTGCTGTCAGCACTTCAAAAAGTACAAGGAAGTGGACAGTGGGGTCTCCGAATGGTCTGCCTCAAAACAAGAACAGTTCTATTGGGACGGTGCCCACCAGTGGCCTGACAGATGGGGAAATGTGTGGCTAGCGATGGACGTTGCTTTGGGTAAAACACTTTTTATTTTATTTTATTTTATTTTATTATTTTTTGGGGGGAGTAAAACACTTTTTAAAAATAAATGTATTTTATTGATTTTTACAGAGAGAAAAGGAGAGGGATAGAGAGTTAGAAACATCGATGGGAGAGAATCATCGATCAGCTGCCTCTTGCACACCCCCTACTGGGGATGTGCCTGAAACCAAGGTATAATGCCCTTGACCGGAATCGAACCTGGGGCCCTTCAGTCAGCAGGCCGACGCTCTATCCAGTGAGCCATACCGGTTAAGGCTATCGTGTTTTCTTTGATTACAAAATCCACACTTTTAACCGGTACCCGCGTTTTTTTTAAACCGGTATGCAGATTAATTGTGAACCGGTTAAAAGTGCGGATACGGGTGAAGAATGTTATTTGCGGACACGGTGTGGGAGCGCAGTGGTCAGGTCAGGCCTGGCCCCAGGACTGCCTACCTTAGGGAGGTTGGCGATGACGCGGTCCGCGCTCACGGGGGGCCTCGGAGGCGGCAGGGAGTCCTTCATCCTGGCGGAAAGTTCTGGAGACCCAACGCGGGGAGAGAGTCAAGGAGCTTGCCAAGGCCCGGGGGCTCTCCCGCAAGGAGACCTGGGCCTCCCTCCTGCTGCGGGGTGCCCCCCCAGGAGCGCCCCCCTCTGCGCCCATGCCTGGTTGTGGGTGAGGCACACCTCCCGGCCTGCAGGCAGGCTGGATGGGGAGGGAGAGGGGGTGCCCTGCTCCTAGTCTCTAAGGGAGGAAGGCTTTGGCTGGGCCAAGGGCCTTGGGGTTCAGCCCACAGGCCTGTCACCCCCACCTCCCAGGATGGGGCCCTGATGCCTAGTCAACAGCTGGATCGCGCCTTCTTCTGCCCCCTTCCCCTCGAGGGTGGCCTTGACCGCGGCCTGTCGTCGTCGCTCGGGCCCCGCTCTCCTCCCGGTCCAGCCCGGGCCTGGCCCAGAGTCGGGGTTCAGGAAATGCTTGGTAGCTCCTGGGTTCAGATTCGGGGGGTGGGAAGCGGGCCCGGGGGGCCAAGGGGAGGACAGAGGGCGGCGGACTCACCGCGGCGGCGGCAGCAGCAGCGGAGGATTTGGGTTCTGCGCAGCCTGGTCCAGGCTGGTTTCCGCTGCGGCAATCACCATGGCAACGACGACCGCGCACGCACGCACGCCTGGGGAGCATCTGACCAATCCCGGACGCCAGGGGCTGGGATGGGGCGGGGCTCGGAGCGGAAGCAATCCCACTGCGGCGGAGTGCGGAGCCGTCACCATAGCAACCAGAGCCCCGAGGGAGTCTAGGGCATTTGGGCTGCTTTCCTCATCACCGAGCGATCACCATGGAAACGAGAGCGGGGGCAGGATACTGGCTGTGGGCGGGGCCATAGCGGTGTGGGTGGAGCCTGGACCCCAAGATGGGAGTCTGGGCGGGGCTGATGGTGGAGAGACCTCTCTGACGATACTGTAGCGGGGAGGGGTGGGAGCTCAAACCGCTAGGGACGTGACGTGTGTAAGCGTTTATTTCTGCGATATACTGACTGTGATTTTTATTTTTTTATTTTTATTTTTTTATTTATTTTTACATATTTTATTGATTTTTTTTGCCCCCCTCCTTCCCTCCCACACATCCCCTCCCTCCCCAGAGTTTTATGTCCATTGGTTGTACTTGTATGCATGTATACAAGTCCTTCGGTTGATCTATCATCTCCCCCAGATCTTCCTCCCCTCCCCACTGTAACTGACTATGATTTTGTTTTACTTGTGTAGGCTTAGCTCACATCTGGAAAGACACCAGGGGTTACCACGGGTGTGGACAGCCTGTTGCCTGAGGACTGAGGGAGAGATTTTTCTTTCGTGCTGTTTGGATTTCCCCCACGGGTGTACATGGCCTAATGAGGAAATAAATGCCTTGAAACCCAGAATACACAGTAACGCCCCACCTCGCAGGCCCTTCCGTGTCAGCTCCAACGTCCTTCGGAGGCCTGCCCTCCCCGGCTCTTCCCTGCGGACACCTCCTCCTCTTTGCAATCCTGGCATGCGAGTACTGGCTTAGTATTGACATTGGATTGGGGGCTCTCACTCTGCAGCGGCAAGCGATGGGCGTGCCCACCGTTTAGGGACCCTCATCTGCATTGTTCTGCGGCAGTCCTGGGCTCCGGCCTGGGTGGCTCTATCCACTGAGCCAAACTGTGAGACGGTTTGGGTCAGTGGACAGAGCGTCGGCCTTCGGACTCAAGGATCCCGGGTTCGATTCCGGTCAAGGGCACGTGCATTGGTTGCGGGCACATCCCCAGCGGGAGGTGTGCAGGAGGCGGCTGATGGATGTTTCTCTCTCATCGATGTTTCTAACTCTCTATCCCTTTCCCTTCCTCTCTGTGAAAAATCAATAAAATATATTTTTAAAAAAAAGAAAGCCTCTGAGGGTCCTGCCTTGCCCTGGATCATGCTAGCAGCTCACGGGTTGCTCTGAGGACTAAAGGCATGCGAGGTGTCCGCACAGAGAAAGGCGTGCTCACTCACTTCCCCTCCCTCCGGTGCTCTTTGTTCCCCACGGAACCCCTAAAGCATCCTCCTGCCCCCTCTTTGCAGCCGGCCCCAGACCCAGGCTGCTCGCGCCGCCTGCGCGCCTGCGCGGTGGGCGCCAAAGGTGCAGCCTCGGCGCTGAGGACGCCGCCGCGCGGGGGTTGCCTGGCAACCGGGTCGCCTGGCAACGGGCGACCGAGCAAGCTGAAGCAGGTGAGCCTGCAGCACCAGGCAGGGGCCCCAGACAGGGGCACAGGGGACCCCCCCAGACCCATCCAGTCTGGCTCACGCGGGTCCCGCGTCCTCTCTCATCCGCGGCGGGACTCCCGCAGCCCATGCCACCTGCAGGAGGGCAGGCCCTTGCCCCCCGGAGCCCAGCATTCCCTGCAGGGGGAGCCCCAATCGGAAATGGCCGCCTCCCGCCCAGCCCGCCACCCTTCTCTCCTCGTCACCCGTGCCCAGGACCGGAGCTGGGCTGACCCCTCTACCTGGGGTGGAATCCTACAGGGCGGGGCCGGGCACGGCCGCTCCCGTTCCCACCGTAAGGACCGCAGCCAAGGCATGCGGAGCCCGGGTGTGCAGGCTCGGGGGACGGTTCCCATGCCAGCTCGGGGAGCAAGGGAAGGGGGTGCTATGATCAAGCATAGCACCCCCTTCCTGAAACTGCTGAGACCCACAAAGAGGAAGAAATTGCCAAGGGCTGCCCTTGGCCTGGGTCCGGAGCTGGCTCTGAGTACTAAGCCACACTGCCTATAGATGCTCAAGGCGTGTGTGTGTGTGTGTGTGTGTGTGTGTGTGTTAAAAACAATTCATGCCCTAGCTGGTGTGGCTCAGTGGATAGAGCGTCGGCCTGCAGACTGAAGGATCCTGAGTTCGATCCTGGTCAAGGGCATGCACGTACCTCAGCTGCAGGCTCCTCCCCGCCTGGAGCCCTGGTGGGACACGTGCAGGAGGAACCCATGGATGTGTTTCTCTCACGTCGATGTTTCTCTCAGTCTCTCCCTCTCTCTTCCACTCTCCCTAAAAGTCAACGAAAAAATATCCTCGGGTGAGGATTAGAGAAAGGAATTTCACCTTTAACTTTTTAAAACGTTAAACCCTGAATTCCTCTTTTGGGGGCGAGTCAGGAGCATCTGAATGAGGGCCCCTGATGGGCTAAAGAGCCGGCCCTGTTTGAACTCCCCGCCTCAGCTGCTCTGTTTCCTCCGGCAGGCCCCTCCCCCGGATCCTCGCCTCCCTCCTTTGTAGAATGAGGTGACACAAGTGCCCTTCTCTGGGGTGGCTCTGGCAGACGCTGGCTCCTGCTGGCACCAGAGGTGTTAAGTCAGCGATCGTGGTAGCCAGTGTGGGCGGGTTCTCCTGCCGGTAAGCCTGGGAGAACTCTGCAGTTTGCCGTTTGGGCTGCTCCTTACTTCACGATGCCCCTGAGCAGATCCCTCCGTGGTCTCAGTTTGCTCATCTGTAAAATGGTTGTAAAGATATTCACCCGGCCTGGCTGGTGTGGCTCTGTGGTTATGGCATCTAGAATATGGGCCCCACCACTCAGGAGTCAAGAGACCCCTGGTTCGGTTCCCGGTCAGGGCACACGCACAGGTTGTGGGCTCCGTCTCAAGTAAGGGAGCGTGCAGGAGGCAGCTGAATGGTGATGTTTCTCCGTCATTGATGTTTCTCTCTCTCCCTCTCTCTCCCTAAAAATCAATAAAAACGTTTAAAAAATCCACGCAGTCGAAACCGGTTTGGCTCAGCGGTAGAGCGTCGGTCTGCGGACTGAAAGGTCCCAGGTTCGATTCCGGTCAAGGGCATGTACATTGGTTGCGGGCACATCCCAATGTGTGCAAGAGGCAGCTGGTCGATGTCTCTCTCTCATCGACGTTTCTAGCCCTCTATCTCTCTCCCTTCCCCTCTGTAAGAAAAATCAATAAAATATATTAAAAAAAAGAAAAAGTTATAAAATAAATAAAGAAATAAATAAAAAATCCACGCAAGCTGTGCTTACCGCGCTGAGGAGCCAAGGAGAGGTAGCGTCTAAATCACGGTAGTACAATGACGTTTGGGTCCTTTCCATCCGTGCTTTCGGCAGAGCTCCGTTCTGGAAGCGCGAGCGTCGCCTCCTGCGCCGTGGAAAGATGGCCAAGACCTGGATCTCGATGTACCTGCCCCCCAACATCAACCCCGCCCAGGCTTCCATCGCCTACGGCTCCCGGGCGCTGCCCAAGCTGAACGAGGAGCTGCAGTCCGACGACCTGCAGACCAGGCAGAAGGCCCTCATGGCGCTGTGCGACCTCATGCATGACCCCGAGCACGTCTACGTGGCCATCGACATAGGTGAGTGGGTCCGGAGCCCGGGGGCCATGGCTGGGGTCTGGGGGGACAGACACAGAGTCGCGGAGGTGACCCGCCCAGCTGGCCATCCCGTCCTTGGAGGACACCCCAGCAGCCGACCGAGAGCCACAAAGCAGCCCTCTCTGCTGTGGCTTGCCCGACCAGCTGGCCACACACCCACCAAACAGCCCCGTGTCTCTGTCTCGCCCACAAAAGAAAGGACGCCCCCTATTGGAACCACAGGGTGTCTGGGACCCCTGGTTACCCGCTCTCCTGACGACCCAAAGGAACGCTGAGGTGGTCTTCCTGGCCTGCCACCCCTTTCCCCGATCAGCACATGATGCGTGAGCTGCCACTCCCCACCCGCCTTCGCTGAAGGGCTGATAAAAAATAAAATCTGCCCTAACCGGTGTGGCTCAGTGGGTAGAACGTCAGCCTTTGGACTCAAGGGTCCCAGGTTCGATTCCAATCAAGGGCATGTACCTTGGTTGCGGGCACATACCTAGTAGGGAGTGTGCAGGAGGCAGCTGATCGATGTTTCTCTCTCATCGATGTTTTTAACTCTCTATCCCTCTTCCTTCCTCTCTGTAAAAAAATCAATAAAATATATATTTTTAAAAATAAAATCTACCTAATAAAAGAGAACATGTTAATTGACTGTACCTTCACGATGCCTACCAGCCAATCAGGAGTTAGTATGAAAATTAACCCAACAAAGTCTGCCCCATAGGCTGCCTGGAGAGCCTGCGGACCCTGCTGAAGGACACAAACCACGTGGTGCGGATCAAGACCACCGAGGTGCTGTCCATCATGGCGACCCACAACGTGGGCAGGTGGGCACTGTTCCGGAAGCCCCGTCAGGCTCCCCCCCCCCCCCCTATGGCAAAACAAAACGCCAGGAACCAGGGAACTTGGGCTGTTCCCTCCGAACAGTCCATTTTAACCCCAAACACTGAGGGTCAGGCCTTCCTCCACCCGCAGGGCCCCCGGCCTTTCCTCGGAGGTGGGGCGTGGGCCCACGGATGCCGCGCCCCCTCCTCTTTGGGGCTTAAACCACACCTGTCCCGTCATCGTCTGATTTGCAGCCGTGGTTTCTTTTAGGAAGAGCAAGGACTCAGACACGAGCGAGGTGATCTGTATGCAGAAGCCTCCTAGGGTCTTTGTATCATCATCTCACCTTTCTTCAGAGACTCCCTTCTGAGCCTCCTCAAAGCATGCCACTTGGTTTTCATGAGGAAATAAAAAAAAACAACAACAACAACCGTCATCTCTCATCCAATGGGCTGGCCTAACATGTAGAATCTATACGGCTTCACGTACAGAATCAGAACAGTGAGGACAACAGGTGTCCACAGGCTGGAGCTGGCAGGAGGCTCGCTGCCCAGAGCCTCGGGGCTGGCTGGGTGGGCAGAGGGCGGCCGGGGAGGCCGGTGGTGGGCTCTGCTGCCTTGTCCCCATTGGCAGGTGGGAGCGAGGCTCGGAGGAGCACAGGGAGCCTCGAGTCCAAGTCCTGGCTCTTCCCTCCACCCCGCAGGCCCTGCTGCTCAGGGCCCCAGGGTCCACTTCTGGCCAGGGTCTTTTTTAATTTATTTTTTTTAAGCAAGGAATTTTTATTATTTTATTTAGTGTGTGTGTGTGTGTGTGTGTGTGTGTTGCTAATCCTCACCCGAGGATATTTTTCCATTGATTTTTAGAGAGAGTGGAAGAGAGAGGGATAGAGAGTTGGAAACACTGATGGGAGAGAAACATCCATCAGCTGCCTCCTGCACCCCCCCACAGGGGATGTGCCCGCAACCAAGGTCCATGCCTTTGACCGGAATCGAACCTGGGACCCTTCAGTCTGCAGGCCGACGCTCTATCCACTGAGCCACACCGGTCAGGGCTTTCCATTGAGTTTTAGAGAGAGTGGAAAGGAGAGGGAGAGAGAGAGAAACATAGAGGTGAGAGAGAGACATCGATTGGTTGCCTTCTGCATGCACCCGGCCTGGGGCTGGGGTGAAGTGGTGGTGGTGGGGGGGAGGGCGGGGATCAAGCCTGCAACCGAGGTACATACCCTTGACCGGAATCGAACTTGAGACACTTGGGCCAGTCCTCTATCCACTGCTCCACACGGGCCCGGGCTGGCCTTGGTCTTCTCTCAGGAAGCCAGAGGGTGTGGCTGCAGCCGCCTGCGCGGGTTCAGGATCCAGGGGGGCGAGGAGGGTGGGCGGCTGATGCCTGGTGCTCCTTGGGGCCTCTCCGGGGGTGGGGGTTGCCCGATCTTTGCCGCGTCCGACCCAGCCTCCCCCTCCAGAGACGGCTTCCTGAAGCACAACATCATCCTGGTGCTGTCCCACCTGCTGAATGACCCGCAGCCGGCCTGCCGGCAGAACCTGCACCTGGCCTTCAAGCACCTGTCCCAGGTGCCCTCAGGTAGGCCCGGCGCCGCCACCCCCCCGCAGCCCCCCGCAGCCCCCCACAGCCCCCGCCTCCGGCCAGCCAGGCGGTACCTCGCTTCCCATCAGACTGGATCACAGGTTTAATGGTCACGTTTAGTTCCAGACCAAAGGGCCCCGGGTTCGATTCCGGTCAAGGGCACATCCCTCGGTTGCAGGCTCCTCCCAGGAAAATAAGAAGGACCCTCCCCCCCCCATGTCCATCGCTGGCAGAACCGTCTCTGGGCTCCAGGCAGGGGGACTGCACACGCCTTTCCTAAGGGAGCCCTGGCTGATTCTCCACCGAGGTACTGGGGCGTCTCCATGACAGGTCAGTGCTGGGGCTGAGCCCCGGGCTCTGGTTCTGACGAGCCCCATCCCGGCCACGCTTTTAAAGGTCATCTGTCAGCTGTTTTCTTGCTGCCTGTCCCTCGCTCACGCCTTGGTGCCTTGGTGCTTTGACAAAGGCGTTGGGAGGGGCGTGGGGTGGATGGAGGTCCTTCCTCAGCCCTGGTGCTGGGTGGAGTCTGGTTTCCTGGCTGTTTCCCCAAAGCAACCAGCAGGGGGCGCCCCAGGACTGTGACAGCCCGGCTGGGCCCTGCTGGGGTCTGGGCCTGGGGTGGTGGCCTCCAGGAGAGGAGGGGCCCCGGGGGGCAGAGGCCACTGCCTCCCAGAGGCCCCCGGCCCTGCTCCTGAGCACCTGCCTGCGAACCGGAGGAGGACACGGATCTCCCTCCCTGGCCGCTGCTCAGCTCCAGGGCTGAGCCTGGGGGCTCTTGGGTAACTGGATTTGGGGGTGCAGCTGAACAGCCAGGGGTCCCTGGGAGTGTCTCCCTACCAGACCCACTGGCCATTGGCCATGCCCAGGCCCCCTTGGGCCCTCTCTCTGACAGCGGCCTTGGGCCCTGACTGGCAAGCCTGGGCGTCCGGTCCGGTCGCCCCCCTCCCTGTCCTCCTCCCCCTCCCCCCCAATCACTCGCTCCTGTGGCCCAGCTTCCCCCGCAGTGTTGTGAGCACCTGGCCGTGTGCAGCCTGGGCTCGGGGTGCTGGGGGGGGGGGGGCGGAGGCAGACGCCCCTCCCTCGGGGAGAGGCTGTGGGCCCTGCTGGGGCCTCTGCCAGGGCCAGGCCCGGGAGGGACAGGACACGGGGAGATTCTGGACCCAGTTTGATGCTGGTGGAAGTGCTGGGGGACATCCCTGGGGTCATGCACCCTCAGGACTGGAGAGAGAAATCGGGGGGGAGGGGGCTGTGTCCAGGGGGAGCTGACGCCGTGGGGCGGGGGTGGGGGCACCGGGGCCGTGCCAGCCTGACCGTCTTGGAACCTCCCAGTCCCCTTCAGCCGGGCACGTTTAGGCCAGCGATGCTCACTGGTCCTCCCACAGCCCAAGCCTCGATGATTCCAACCACAGTCCCTTCTCACGAGAGCCCCTTGGTGATGTGGGAGGGCGTGAAGGGGATCCCATGTGGGCGAGGGGCGGGGCTGGGCGGGGAGAGCCAGCTTCCTGGGGGACCCGGTGCTGAGCGTCTGTCTGCGTGTGCACCTGTGCGCACACCTGTCCGCGGCCCTCACCAGGGCTCCCTGTGGGTGTGGGTGTGGGTGTGGGTGTGAGTGTGGTTGCGGGTGCGGGTGTGGGTGGGGCAGAGGCCGGCAAGGAGGCAGGCCTGGGAGGCAGGTGCCCTCTGCTCCGCCCTCGAAAGGCGTCTGCACCACTCCCTGACCTTGACCTTGACCCTGTCACCTATAAAACTGGCCCCTGCAGACGGGTTTCGTCGTGAGCGTTAACGGAATCTGTGAGCGAACACACGCCCGTGACTTCTGATCGGTGCTTCCCTCCCAAGGGATTGCTCTAACCCGGGTCATGGATGGTGGGCCTGGGGGCGCCTCCTGCAGCACCGCCGGCCCTGATGGGGTGTCTGCCCCCTCGGGGCACCTCTGCTGCTCTGCGGGGACAGCTCTGACCCTGGCGGAGGTGTCTTCAGGGGGGGAGGGGTCTGGGTGCCAGTGCGGCCTCAGTGGGTCTTGGGGACAGTGTGAGGGCGGAGCCATCAGCACCCCCAAACTGCAGCGCCTCGGGATACATGGGCCTGGCAGGGCACCTCACTTTTCAGAAGACAAGTTTTTCTTTAATTTCAGAGAGAGGGAGGGATGGAAACATTAATGATGAAGATCATGGGTCGGCTGGCTCCTGTGCGCCCCCTGCTGGGGATCGAGCCTTCAGCCCGCAGCCCACGGGTGCCCTGACCCGGGATGGAACCGTGACCTCCTGGCTCCTGGGTTTACCGGATGCTCAAGCCCTGAGCCACGCCGGCCGGCAGCTCCCCATGCCGGCAGGCTCTTTCCTCTCTTGAGGGTTTGTTCTTGACGTGCATTTCGAGATGAGTTACCTCCGTGTGTGTGTGTGTGTGTGTGTGTGTGTGTGTGTGTAGGAGCTGAGAGGAGGGGGCGCGGGAGGGGGGGAGGGGAACCTCGGGGTGGACGCGCCCCGCCCTCAGCCCTGCACACGCAGCACCCGCTCGGCTGGCTCGTTCGGGACACTTTATTTTCGGAAAGCAGACAATCTCTGACGTCCGCGCCACCCGGCTGCGTCCCCCTGCGTCTCTCCCAGTCCTCGGCTGTGCTTCGGCGCCGAACGGCGGGGAGAGGAGCTTTGGCAAGGTCTCGGGCGCCTTCCCTTCTCGGTGGCGGCGGGCTCGTATGTACATGCGATCCTCGGCCACGGTCCTCCCGGGCCCGGGGCAGAGGCACGGGCTGGCGTCCCGCGGGGCCTCCCTCAGGCTCCCAGGCTGGCTGAGCCTTCACAGGAGGCAGAGCGGCTCCCAGCCCGGCTCCCCCGCACCCCGTCTCCTCGCAAAGCCGGAGAACCCCCTCTGGAGCCCCAGGACAGGCAGCCGTGCTCCTTCGCCCCGAGGTGAGGAACCGCCTTTAAACACGTCACATTGAATTTTCCGGAACAAAAAACGAAGCAGAAACCGCACCAGGAACAGGGGCAGGGACAGTCCGGGGAACAACGGGGACACTCAGCAAGCCAGACACGAAGAAGGACCACCTGGAAAGAGACAGGTCCCGGAAACCCGCGTTTTAAGAAAAGAATACTCGGTTGCGTTTGGAAATGGTCTGTGTTTTCCTGCGGACACCACGAGGTTTGGCAAAAAAAAAAAAAAAAAAAAGAGAAGGTGTCAGAGAGGAAGTCCCAGGTCCAGAGAACACCGGCGAGCGGCAGAAGCTGGAGCAGGTGGCGCCACTCTGTGGCCGTGTGGCTGCCGTGTCCGGTCCGCTCGGAAAGAGCAGCGAGTGGCCCTCGGAGGCCTGGTCAGCGCTGCGTCCGGCCTCGAACCCGGGTCCAGGCGCAGAGCGTGGTCCCCAGGGGCCGGGGTGGGCGTGTCCAGTGGCTGGAGCTCGGACCCTCCCTGGTCCTCCCTCCTGGTCAGCGACCAGTTCCCTCCTCTAGGGCTCAGCTGGCCTCCGGGTGGCCCCAAAGCCTTCCCCGCAGACCCACGGGGGGGGGAGGGGACCCCGTGCAGAATGGGGCCAACTCAGGGAGGGGGAACGGACTTGGGGGACATGGTGACAGCGCCTCAAATCTCCCAGAGACCCCGACGCTTTGGGGGTGCGTCGCTGTCTCCAGACTGTGTGTGAGTGTGTGTGTGTGTGTGTGTGTGTGTGTGTGTACACCTACCTAGAGACCTATCCGGACACGGTTATGCTTGTGGAGATGTGGGGGCCAGGGCGGCGGAGGGGTGGGGCGGGGCGGGGCGGGGGGCGCTCTCCAGGCCCCGTGTTCGGCCCTGGGCCGGGTCTCCCCGGCAGGAGCAGGGGGGCGGGGGCCGGGGCGGCCCCGGGTTCCGTCACACGCGGACGCCGGCCGGCCGGCCCTCAGCAGAGGCCGATGTACTTGAGGTTGTTCTGGATGATGACGTCGGTCACAGCGTCGAAGACGAACTGGATGTTGCTGGTGTCGGTGGCGCAGGTGAAGTGCGAGTAGATCTCCTTGGTCTCCTTGTTGCGGTTCAGGTCCTCGAACTGCCGCTGGATGTACACGGCCGCCTCCTCGTAGGTGCTCTGGCCCTTGTACTCGGGGAAGCACACGGACAGCGGGATGCGCCGGATCTTCTCCGCCAGCAGGTCCTTCTTGTTGAGGAAGAGGATGAGCGACGTGTTGATGAACCAGTTGTTGTTGCAGATGGAGTCGAAGAGGCGCAGGCTCTCCGCCATCCGGCTCTGCGGGGGGACACGCGGCGTTAGCTGGGGGGCCGCGGGGGAGGGCCCCTGACCCCACGCGGCCGAGCCTCCCAGCCCGGGCTTGGCCCCCACAAAAGCACCCGCTGTGGCTCAGTGGATAGAGCGTCAGCCTGCGGACCAGAGGGTTCCGGGTTCGATTCCGGTCAAGGGCACCTACCTGGGTTGCAGGCTCCTCCAGGGCCTGGACCCTGGTCAGGTGCATGCAGGAGGCACCCCATTGATGTCTCTCTCTCTCTCTCACGTCGATGTCTCTCTCTGTCTCTCCCTCTCTCTCCCACTTTCTCTAAAAACCAATGGAAACACATCCTCAGGTGAAGATTTTAAAAAAAGCATCTTCTGTTGGGTGTTCCCACTGCCGGGCGCGCTGTCTTCAGCGTCTCCCACGGGTCCGGCGCCCTCAAGGGGCTGCTCCCTCCACGCCCGAGCCCGGCCCGGGCTGTAGGAGGCTCCTCCCCTGTTCGCGGCCACGGACCGGCTGGGGACGCTGTGACCCAGTGGGCTGCGGTGCCACCAGCTCTGCGGGGCCTGCCCTCGCCCCCCCCCCCCCCCCCCCCCCCGGAGACGGGCAGGGCTGGTCCGCACACCGTTTATAGAAACCGCTCGCCGCCCGTCGGGAGCCCCCGGCAGCAGGGGAGCCGGCGGGGAGGGCGGGGCAGGCAGGGACTCGGTTTCCCCAGCTCCAGGACGAGGAGGCCGGAAAGCCGTGTGTGGCTGCGGAAGGCAGAGCGTGGCCCCGGGGAGGTGGGGCTGGGGCGGGGCCGTGGTGTGAATGAGCTCCATTCACCAAGGCGGAGCCAGCCCTGTGGCCGCCCCAGCAGCTGGGCCACCAGGCCTGTCCGGCCACAGGGTGCCAGGCTCCAAGGGCGCCGAGCTGGGACCTGGCATGGAGGCCGCCTGGCAGTGCCCGGTGCGGGGGGGGGGGGGGATGTGGCTTAAGGGGCACAGGGTTGAAGACGGTGCGTGGCGAGCCTAGTCCACAGTCTGGGGCCCGGCTCGATCACAGGCAGGGGCAGTGAGGCCCCGAGCCCTCTGCTGGGGGCCGGGCGGACCAGCCTGAGGCCTGTGCATCCCCAACTTCTCTGGCGGGTCAGAGGCCAGGCTGTGTCCAGGCCGCAGGCTCACCTGTGCTTCCCCAGGCAGCCAGCCCACCGAGGGTCCCGTCCCTCTGGGGCTCATTTCCCTTTTGGGGTCCCCGTGTGCCAGGGGAGCTCGGAGAGCGAGATCCTGGCTCGCACCGGGGGCAGGGGTCCCACTGAGATCAGAACTTGGGTTTCGACCCCCCCTGCCCCCGCACCCAGGGGAGGTGGGCCTGTTAGGGACCAGGTTAGGGCCGTGGGAGGGGTGGGGTGGGGCGGAGACACCTGTCTTCCCTGTGTGTGTGCAGAAGCCGGGCACCAGGCCTCAGTCTGCCCCCAAACTGCAAGTGCCCCGGCCTGCCACCTCCTCTCCAGAACCACCCTCCCAGGGACCCGGCGCAGTCTGGCGCCTGTGGTGGCGGGCACTGCCGGGGGCACCACCGTCCTGAGGCATCCCGACATTCACCCCGATACCCCATTTCTAAGGAGCCCCTGACAGCCGCCTCCCCTCCACACAGACGCGGGCAGCAGCTGGTCCTGCCTCGATGCCCGTGCTGCCGCCTGTGCCTCTGCCTCCGGCCTGGCTGGGCCTGCAGACCGCGCTGCCCCTCTGCTTGGGTCTCCCCTTCCTCAAGGGGCTTCCAATGCCCATGGGGGCTGAGAGGCGACAGAGATGGGCAGACAGACAGACAGACAGACAAACACCACGCAACCAGCGGCGTGGCTGCTGCTTCCCCGCAGAGGCCGGCCAGGGAGGGGGCGGCGGGAGGAGCCTGAGTCATCTCTCCGCCTGCAGGGACCGCTCGCTCGGAGCTCAGAGCTCGGCCTCCCCAGGCAGCTCAGCTCCAGCTCTGCCTGTCGCCTGCAGGATCTGCCGCTCCACCCCCACCCGCCGGGAAGGCGTCCCCTGGTCCCCTCGCTGGAGGGCAGGGCCGGTGGCACCGGGTGGAAGCGCCGAAACCCGGGGACCAGAGGGCACGTGTGGCCGTGGTCAGCCACCAGGGAGCAGAGGGGCCCGGGGCACGGCCGCCCCCGCGTCCTCTCCGTGCTGAGCAGCTGAGAGTGTGACAGCAGCTGCCACCAGGGCGGCCGCTCCCCTCCCTGCGCTGAGCCTGAGCCGCTGAGCCTGAGCGTAGTACCCAGACACCCAGGAGATTTGCTGCCATTTCCATGGCAACCGGGAGGAAGCCTCCATCCTGCGAGCACAGACTGATGGCGGGAGGATGCGGCGGGCTCCTGAGCCCAGCCACCCAGGCCCCTTCCCTCCCTGGGCCGGCTCTCCAGCGGCTTCCATCGCGAGTGGTGGTCGAACACCCTCCGCCTGGCTCCGAGACCCGTGGTGAGCAAACTGCACGGCCCTGGCGAGTCTATGTTGAAGACGAGGCGTTAGAAGAAGTTTAAGTTTAAAAAATGTGGCTCTCCGAAGAAATTCAGTCACCGTCCTGTTGATACTTGGCTCTGTGGACGGATGAGTTTGCCGACCGCTGGCCTAGGCCGTCCCGTCCTCCCGCTCTCCTCCCCAGCGGGGCCATGCCGTCCCTTCGGACCCAGAGCCCTTCCCTGACACCCCCGTCACGATCACTGTAGCCCTTCCTGCCGATCGGCTGCGCGGCCGGAGCACCACGGCACCCGCGTGTGTGGCTCCTGGTCTGCCGAGGGCGGCGCTGTCCGTGGCAGGCGCCCAGCGGAGCAGTCTGCCTGGCCTGGGCACGGCGGGCGGGCCAGATGGTGCCCGCCCCGCTGTGTGTGCTTGGAGCGGCAGCCGCTGAGCGGGGGCCGGTGGAGGCGGCGTGCGGGCGCCCGGTGCCCCTGCCCGCCCTGGGCGGCCTGGCTCATGGAGGGCCAGAGGGCGGGTGGGGAGCGGTCTCCCCCTCCCCCTCCCATGCCTCGCTCGGCGGGGACGGTGGAGGACGGCAGGCGGGTACCGTCCTGGCCTCTTGGCCAGGGGCCTGCGTCCTGTCTCACTGTGGCCCCGCCATTTCAGCCGATGGGCCTGGCAAAACCGCCCGCGGAGGCGTTGGGTGAGCCGGGGCTGCGGCTTCGCAGTGACCGCTGTGCCAGGCTGTGCCGGTGGGTGAAGCCGACCCCCGGGGTTCTGTGAGCAGAGGTCCCGGGGCCTGACTCCCGTGTGCTCCCGCCCGCTCCGGCTCCGGCTCCGGCTCCGGCTCCGGCCCCGGCTCCGGCTCCGGCCCCGGCCCCCCAGCCGCCGCTGCAGACACGCAGCCCCAGGCCGGGCCGTGTCAGGAGGGAGATTAGCGAGCGGCACAGAGAGATTAGCGACCAGGACGCGGACTCCTGGGCCCCGGTCCTCACGGGCGCCCCCTCCCCAGGGACGAGAGCGCCCGCCGGGGAGAAGGGCCCCCACCTCACGTCTCCTCTCCCAGCCCCTCGCCCAGGGGAGCCCGTTTCAGAGCGGCCTCGGCCTCGGCCAGCGACAGATGGGCACTGTGGGCGGGGTGGTGCCAGGAGCCCGGAGTCAGCGCCGCCCGCCCGCCCGCCCCCTCCCTCCCCCGCTCGGTCCCGGGGCCGCTGCCCGCCTCGCAGTCACACGGCCGCTGTGTAAACAAGGTGACGCCCCGCCCAGCGGCCCGGCCCGGCCTGAGGGCCAGACACCTGTCCTGGGCTTCCTGCGCCCGGAGCTGGTCACCGGCGCTCGCCTCGGTGCCCCCCTCGCCGGCCCGGTTTCCCCACTGGACATGGGGGGGGGGGCGGGAGTGACCCTAATAACGAACGGGCAGCAGCCTCCCGCTCCCAGCCCCGGGCGGGGCCAGCGCACCTGCTGAGCCTGGGCAGCCTGTCTCGGCGCCGGGCAGCGCCTGGCCCAGCCTCCCTCCTCCGCCTGGTGCCGGGCCCTGCCACGCCCACGGCCGGCCCGAGCCTACAGCCAGGGCCACAGCGTGTGGCCAGTCCGGCTCCCACCCTCCCATTACTCCGTGGCCAACCACACGCAGCTCCCGGCCCTCAGGGGTCCGCCCGGCGAGAGCGGCCCTCAACCCCGGGCCACTCGGGGCCAAAGCCAGGCCGGGCCCCACCCAGGCCCCAGCGTGAGCCGGAGGCGGCCCTGCCCCAGAGCACCTTCCTGTCCCCAGGCCCGACCTCGCCCACCGGGGCGCTGTCCCTGGGGAGACCGAGCAGGCCAACCAGGACCCTGGCGGCCACACGCCTGCTGTCCTCCCTAAGTGACCCCTGGTTGTGGGCTCGGGTGTCAGTGCCTCCTGGGCGTGTCCCCAAACCTCCCCTTACACCTGTGTCACACCGTCTCTCCCCCAAGTCCGTCTCTGGGGCGAGGAGGGTCCTGGCTTCTCTGCACCCAGACAGCTGCCCCTCGGGGACCCTGAGGCCACCCCAGCGGGCACGGCCGCGGGCATGGGGGAGCCCCTCCAGCCTCCGGGGACCGCGCCCTGCTGTCCCACCTGACCCGAGGGAGGGAGGGTCACCCGTAGACGGTGACTGGCGAGGAGAAGGCAGAGCCTCGGGCTCCGAGCCCCTCGGCGGCGCGGGGCGCTGTGACCCTGTAACCCCCTGAGGAGGGGAGGGGAGAGGGAGGCGCGGGAGCCGCTCTCCGGCCGCCGCTCCGGGCAGTGGATGTGCACAGAGAGCACACGTGCGGTCACGGGCCGGAGCGGGCATCGCCGAGGCGGCATGTCCCGGAGGAGCTGACACGCGGGCGCCGCCCGGCTCTTCGGAGACGGACAGTACATCCTGTAACCCACGGATGGCTGAGCCGGCCGGCGGCCCTGGCGTGGGGTCAGAGTCGCCGGATGTGGCCGGGGTGAATGTTTAACAGCCCCCGGAGGAGGCGATTGGAACGGCTGCGAGTTCCCGCTGCGATTACTCCCACCGGGTGGACTGGGAGCTACCAGCTCGCTGCCCAGTGGCCCCCGGGCTCCCTCAGACCGGACA